GACTCGACCAGATCTAGGGTTTTATGTTTGTAACTCGCTGATGGCCCCTGCGGCCAAAGCCTTTGTAATTCCTTGTAATGATCGCAACGCTCTTACGCGAATCGGAAATAAGATCGACTTTCTTTATAAATTCGTTTTACTATGTTTTTCATATTTTTCCGCATTTATTTGGTTACTTGTCGTTGGCTTTCGCAGAGATACGGTTCCTCTGGAAAATTAGGGTTTTCCTAAGTTTCCTTATTTAACGGAAATCGACAAGTGTGAATTTCGGTTCCCACAAACTTTAGAGATTTCATTTTGGTATCTTAACTTCTGATAATAAATTATCAAAAATGTTGTTTTCTAAGTTGGTCAAATATGTGTTAATGCTTTGACTTGTTTGATTTAATTATCAAATATGAGTAACATTTTTTTATTTATTGTTTCAAATTTTTTTTTCTGGAGAAAAGTTTAAAGTCCCAAATATGGTTATACTATTGATTAAAAAAACACATTTGGATCTTTAAGGATCAATTGATATGGATGGAAATGGATTTGTGAGTCGACGCCTCAAATTAAGTTTGGGAGAGATCTGCCACATATGAATCATTTGCCATTACATTAGAAATAAAATGTTGTTGACATTAATCGATACATTTATTTCGTCAATGCTTTAGACACGAGTCATATAAATATTAATCATGGAAAAAAAAAATGAGAATTTTTAGATCAATATGACTGAAACTGACATGAACTTTGTAGTTTCAAAGTCAATATGGTTGAAAGAAACCAAAGAGAGTTGTGATTTTGAATCCACAAATATGTTTTGTCATGATATGAATATTTGCTAAAAGCAAATATATATTTTTGGATAAATCCAAAGCATACAAGCTGGATTATAAAATCAGCTTGAGAGAACTATGAAAAATAGTTGTATGTAAATTGTTAATTTCTGAGAATGAATACATTTTTAAGAAAATTGTAATAATTTTCAAAATTATATTTTATTCTTTTAAATATAAAGAAGTTGTAGAATAATTTTTCTAAACTTTTAAGAGATGTTAAATGAAAATATGCATGGTTTTGAGTAATTTCAAGAAATGTGGGGGAAGCTTTGCTTACCATATAAAGTTGTTGGCAAGATGCCAAATGAATTTCGTGATAATTACCACACTATGATTTATAAAAAAAACTAGTGTCAAACAATGAGTTTTATGTACAATAGTTATTTGTATCTTCAAAGAAGATGACAAAAATTATTAGACAATTGATCTCAGTTGGAGTAATCTGATTAGATTATTTTCATTATGAATGACAACCTAGAATCCTTATATTAAAGGTGTGTCATAAGATCAAATTTTTATATCATCAAGAGGAATGGGTGAAAACCTATGAAGTAAGATGAGATTTGGTGGTAACTCTACCTAAATGATTGGAGATCCCCAAGAAATAGGTTCAAAGAGACAACTAAGTCGAATTAAATCTGCTCAAAAGCACTATAAGACTTCGGTTTATACCGAGTTCCTAGGATGATTAAACAGTGCTACATGTAAGGATTACATGATAAGCATTTGGTTTTAATGATTTGTGTCTATTGTTTTGCGTTATGAATAGAGTAGTACATGATACTCCTCTAAACAAAACTAATAGGAAATCACCTTGTGAGTGTGAAATTGGGCCGTTTCTAGGAGAATGAGGAAAGGTTATATTCTCTAAGTTCACTCATGATTAAACAGGTATGTTCACGGCCAAAATGAACACAATAGAGAACCTAGTTCTGTGAGAGAATGAAACTGTGTTTTAGCTATTGTCCAGGTTTACATCAAAGTCTGGGTGGTTCAAGACATCATGTTCACTACCTGGCCGAGTAAATCCGATAGTTATTAACAATGATTGATTCAAGGCTGAAAAATTGCTACCAACTCATTATGCAGTGGATTTCTTGCTTGTGCTCTCAAAAATCCTTAGTTGAGTCTTCTCGAGTTGTGTCAAGTCTTGTTTAAGAGGCTAACTCTATCGAGTCGTCTACTGTTTAGAGTCATTTCTATTCATGTGGGGGATTGTTGTAATTTTTTTTTGGACATTACGAATAGTGTATTCACATGTCAAAATAAAGTTTTATTTGAATGAGAAATGGAGGTCTAATATGTGTGATTTGAGAAACTTTTATAAAGTAACAAATACACATATTATATATTTCGTTTTGGGTTTTGATTTGTTAGTTGGACTTCATATTCATTAACATAATCTTATAAACCAAATACATGTTGATCTTTTTATATTTATAAAATATGAAAAAAATCCATTTAAAGTATATTATTTTGTTTGAATGCGTCAAATAATAATAATTTTACTCTTTAATTTTTTGGTTAAAATGTGAAATAAATTCATATATTAATTGGGAAAAATTAAAGTCTCAATTAGTGCACCATGGAGGTTTCATTTTTTTGTTGAAAATGAAACTTGGGCTTCTCATTTCTTTTTCTATAAAATGGCTTGTTAGCATTATAGAAAATAGACATATTTTTGAATTGATACATCTCCCACTTAGAATAGTTATGCTAGTATTATTTTTTATTTTGTGTCTCACAGTACATCACAAAAAAAAGTTTGTTAGCTTCTATTATGTGTGATGCGGAATAGTCGAAGTGTGGTTGTATCATGGGATTCTGATTGCGTAAACACCATTACACTATGGGCAATTAAAGAATTAAGGAAAGAGTGTCTCGACTCCACACGAAATCGTTCTTTGTTTATCATATTTTGGTATCAAGTATTGTATATTTTATTTCTGTTTTTTTGTCAAATTATTCAGTTTACCATATATCGTAGAAATCATGGTTCTACATACAACACTAAGAGCTACTATGAGCTGGTGCGTTATGTTTAGAACGAGTTTTTGTACTTGATCATTGTATTGAGATGCAATAAGATAGTCACGGTTTGTTGATACTTCTTCCAAGTTATTTAACCATTCTCCTGGCTTTGTGTAGTAGATATATGCTCGTGTCGGCATTTTCTTTTCCCTCCACTTATTAGTATTGAAGAATATAACGACCGTCTTCGAGCAGTGGTGCGATGTAATCACAAGTATGCTAACCTATTCATGCTTCCACGTCCACATATACCTGTATTCATATTTTGCTTGCAATTTGCATATTTGTTATTTCCCTCATCTATTATTATCAATAGTATTGTTATCACCGTTCTTGTTTATGCTAAGCTTTTTGTTGTCTATCCCTCTTCAGTATGCCTTGCTGCAGAAGCTCGTCGATGATGGTTTCTTAACTAAAGATGAAAGGTTCCCAAATTCAGCGGGTAATATCATACATATTTAGCACCACTGTTACTATGGGAGCTGTATTTACCATCTTTCCATGGTACAACAAAGGACAAATAGAGATATTACGATTGTTTGTCACATGATGCTACACTAAGTCTCGATCTGATTAAAACTTGTTGGTGCTCCGATGGGGAAAAACGTAGGTTCGGTTAAAACACGGTCAACTTGGCGTGCTGGTGTTGCATTTTATAACAAGGCCTCATCACTGGGAACACTTGTAACTTGTGCTTCTAAACACTTGAAAACCCGGTATTTTACCTGTTATATTTCTTAGATTGGTTATTTGTATCTAGCAAACGGGAAGAGAAGAAATAATGCACAAGCTGGGATTCGTTTTTTCTTTGGACAAACACAAGCTGGGATTCTTAAGTGGTTCTTCAACAGTGAGAATGATTAAGGAGCCTAAGCATAAACTATCAGCTGTAAAATCAAATTAAACTATATTATATTAGCTGTACCTTTGTAAACTGTTTTAATATAGAATCGATTCATCCAAACACACTTAGTATTCTTGTTAGTATCAACTTACTTAAAGATTCTGGAGCAAACCGATGTGTACTCTTCCATAGTTCCATGTCATTTTGATGCCAAAACCAACAAGCCAGATGGTCATCTTAAGTCCTAACTTCTAAACCAACCGATATATCTTCCTGAATACATTATCTTTTGAGGGTCGGTCCAACTCGTTCAGTCACATGTCAAGGAGACCAGAAACGGAAACAATGGGAACTAATGTCTGAAAGGTACTCTGGATTAATCTCGCAGAAGAGAAGAGTCAGAGCCAATGATGACTCTCTGCTTAGTGGTACAATCCAATTACGGCTTGTCACGTGTCCTTGTGGTCACCGGCCTGTCGTTTTCACTTGTGTCTTTAAGATGAGATTGCTTCTCCATGGTTGCAGTAAATAGTGTCATACTATAACAAATAAAGGAAACTCGTATTCACATTATTTAGAGCATGTTTATCAACAAAACTCACTTAAAGTTTCTTAACCACTAATGGTGGGGCCTGTCGTGACCAGATCTTTTAATATAATCTCTCCACTTCTTCTTTTACCTATTTATGTATGACACATAGGCTAAGAGATGTGTCTTGCACCTCCTAATTAAGCTACGTTCTTGTGTGTTTCTTCTTTTGTTTTAATTTTTTAATCCTATTTAATCTAAGATATGCTGCTAAGAATCACCTATAAACGTGCTCTTAAGAACTCAGTCCCCTACTAGGGTAAATAATTCTTTTACTTTCATATCAAAATTAAAATGTATTCTAGTTTTGCATATGGTTAATACCCAGATTTTAATTTGATCCATTTTTGTTTTTAACCCGTTTTCTCCTTTTTTTAGTCTTGTTTTAATGCTCCACTAATCGCATGTTTATTCTTTTCTAGAATCATCACCAAAACATATAAACAAAGGGAAAATTTGGAAAAATAAATTACATGAGATTATATTTTGAAAACTACACTATCTTTCTATCTTTTTGAAAAATACATTTATTCATACATGAAGTGACTAAATTGACCAAGTTTAATGTTTATATTATCTAATATCTATTTGATATTTCAATTTTATTTTGAACACTATTTGGTATTTTAATTTAAAATAGAAAAAAAGATGTGTTTTTAAAACTGAAACAAAGTTACCAACAATCGTACTTATTTTAATACTCAATATAAAATAAAATAAAACTGATCCACTAACTTTTTCCTAAACCAAATCTGTATTCATAGAATAGATCAACTGTCGATTTGACCAAATACCATAATGATCTGTTATTCAAACCAGAGGACTTTTCTCATGTTTTCATATATATACACACATGAAACAATCCAGAAAAAATGCTATTCTTTTAGTTAACAAAATATCAATCGAGACAGTTTTTAAGAATATTCAAAGAGTGTGTTGCTGTATATATCCTCTCTTTATCAATTTCTTCTTTACTGAAATTTATGCTAAAGAAGATATGATATGTCTTCCGAACAAGGTTATTATGTTAACTTTACGAACACAAAGTACACAGAAACTCTTGCATAATTTTCGGTATTCACCATTCTTAAAATGTTTGGATTTTTTTTTGGACAAACTACTTTCATTAGAAATTAAAGAGTTATCTTTTATAGGAGGAGGAAAGGTTCAGAGTAGCGAACGTTGACTTAAACCACAGAGTCAATCTCCACATTACATAACCGATTAATTTTTTATTCTTATGATGTGAAAAAGATGAACAAAGAATACTTTATTCTATATTGCCCCACTCATTCTCATCTTTTTCTATTTTAACCCATCATAAATTTGATTATTTTTTTTTCTCAAAATCAAAATGTGATTAAAAAATCAATAACACTTAATGAATTAGTATTATATGTAATATGAATTACTAGAAACTACCTTGAATTACTTTGAATTACTAGAAACTACCTTGAATTATTAGAAACTACTATGAACAAAAAACAAACTACCTTGAATTACTAGAAACTACTACGAACAAGGAAAAAAGTGGGGCAGTGAGAAAAATGGTGGAGTAGTAAGAATAGTTATTTTCTAACTGGGGTATTTTAGAATACTTTCCGAACAAAGAACTGACTTAGCCAGAGAGTCAACCTCCACATTGCTAGAATTGAATCTATTTTTCTGAACAAGGAAAGGTTCTTTGTTTTTGTTCATCTTTTTATTATGTGAAAAAGATGAACAAAGAACTCAATCTATTTTTTTTGTTCTTCCGCGGAGACACCAAATAGAAACAATTTGAGCAATAATATTAAAAAAGATTACAGATAATCTTTACAAAATGTTTTGAAAATTATCTAAACCTATAAATTTATAAGATAATAATAAAAAATTTAAATTAATTACTAAAGTTTATATTTTTAAATAAAACAAGGACAAAAATGTCTCATTACATAAAAGAAAGTGTAGTTTTCAGAAAAGCAAAAACAAGATGCATTTTTCAAAATTTAAATTCTAAATGGAGTATATTTCAAATTATCTATTAACTTTCAATAAATTTAAACTTTC